TATATATGTGTTTTGTAATTGGAAAGAAAATGAACTAAATACACCACTAGTTCCATTTTGTTTGTTGTGGAAATTAGTGGGGTTTGAATGATGTGAGTGGGATTTGATCTAATGGATGGTTTGTACGGCATGGGGCCAAAATGCCAAATATCTACAATTCGAGATCACATCACATGTGGTGAGTCAATTGATGATAAATGGTAGCAATAATAATAATAAGAATAATATTCTGGTGGTTTTAAGTGTTTTATTTATGTTTAGGGATAATGGGAGTATTAAATTAGATGTGATATTTTTCTTGGGGATTGTGCACATGTGGTGATTCCTGATTGTGTGGTTGTAAGAAAAGATGGTGGGGTGGGGTGGGGTAGGGAAGGGGGAAGGGGAAGGGGATAATGTTATCCAGTGTATGTAGTGTTTGATATTAATTGATAACTTTTGGCAATTAAAATGGGGGTGGTTGGTGGTGTGCCACCCATGATGTGTGACCATTCTTTGCCTTAAAAGATAAAGTTAGGTCAAGAATCTCTTTGCCTTGATAAAATTAAAGACACATAACTTTGTTTGGTTCATCTGCTTCCTTATTTTTGGGAAAATAAATTTCCTTCAAGAAAAGGTTTCAGCTCATATAACTTAAAAAAAATATGCATAATAAAAACTGTAACATAAAGGGAAATTTTTATTTGAGAGATGATATAGCTCCAAGATATCTTATCAGAGTTATATCCTGTGTTTAATTCCAACTTAACTCAAAATGTTGATGCATGTGTAGAGTTCGAAAACCTTGATAATTATGGTCTCAGCTTTTGCAAACTTATTGTTGATCTGTTAGATATTCAAAACTTAATTTATACTGAAGTGCAATTAAATATGATTTTATCCAGCTTGAACATTAAATTTTTTTATATCGTTAATCATAATACTTTCGGTAACCTATGAATAATGTAGTGTTGAATGATTCAAAGATGTCTTCCAATAATTTGATTCTAAATGAAAATATGTTATTTGGTGACACCGAATGATTCAAAAACTTGAATGATTCGGAGACTCTGAATGAATTTTTTATTAAGAATCAAATTTGGGTTAATGTTGAATTTGGTAACCTATGAATGATTTAGTGTTGAATGATTCAAAAAACTTGAATGATTCGGAGACTCTGAATGAATTTGATTCTAAATGAAAACATGTTATTTGCTGATATCGAATGATTCAAAAACTTGAATGATTCTTTGTTATTAAGAACCAAATTTGGGTTAGTCATTATAAGTTTTTATTCGATATGAGAGGTTAGAAGTAAAAGATGTTTACAAAACACTGTAAATGTTAGAACCATTAAAATGTTACATTTTAAATTAACCATTAAAAGACTTATATAAAACAATCCTTAATCCTTTTGTCTTCCATATGAATTGATTCCCACAAACATATTGTTGAACGGAAAACCATATTTGAGACTAGAGATGCACAAAAGGGAAGTTTCAACCTAATCTTAAATTATTATGTTTTTTTCATAAATGAATAAAGAAAAAAGAATTAGACAGGTCCTTACAATCTTGGCTTTTTTTTTTTAAATGTTTATTGGGTTAGTCATTGTAAGTTTTTATTCGATATGAGAGGTCTTTTGTCGAGAAAAAAGAAATAATATCGATCATTTTCTTATAAAAGAAAATTAGTGAAATTATACTTTCAGACTATAAATATATAGTTTTTCTTTTGTAGTTTTACTCCAAAAAAATTTATTTCAGGTCATGGTCAATGTTTCATGTAAAATGTAATTCTTTTTCGTCTCTGTATATAATGATTTTTGCAAATTTGGTGACAAGAAATATTTATTTTTTTATTAGAAAAACACCAAATAAGGACCAAATTTGTAAGGTAAAACTTTTTAGGGCTAAATTTATATTTTAGGACCAAAAATGCAATCTATTCCAAAAATAATTATTTGATCATTAATCAGTGCGATAATATCTTTTAAAAACTCTAACAAAATATTAACTCTTTACATAACTTATAGTTACTGAACTATAAACTTGAAAAGTGGAAATATAAACTTTGGATCTTCAATTCTTCATTGTTCTAAAAAAGGAATATTAGCTAAAAAAATCACTTAAACGGTATATTTTAGATATTTCGTGAAATTGCTTCTTTAAAAAAATACTAAAAAATAAACCCAACACTTGTTGACTTCGGTATTCTCGAAGCCAGGTAAGATATTTTCTCTCAAAATTTACATCAAGTCAAAGAAGAAAATGTTCTTGAAAGCATATAAAATGTGGATTAATTTGTAATCGAGATGTGTGATCTACTTACTCCTTGCATGATTCATGGGATGCTGCTGTTTAACCTTAACCTTATCAAAATATCAACTACTCCTCGTACTAGCACGACCCAACAAATACTCTATCGAACTCTTTTTTCTAATCTCGTACTTGCAAGTTGAACATTTTATACTTCGTTTGACTTTGAGATTAATTAGTGTAAACCAATCAAATATATTTTACATTAAAAGCGTCAATAAGTGTAATCTTACTCATCTAAGATCATTCACTTAAAAACTATAAAACTATAAAATCCTTATATGTGGGTACGATCTTGAGTTATTAAAAGGGAGCTGATCCGTACACAACAATTTTTATCCATACACAACAATTAATACTTTAAAATGTTGTATTGTACAACTATATAATGCATAAATTGTTGTGTATGACAAAAAATTGGTGTATACGAATCACTTCCCTTATTGAAAGTTTTTAACTTTAAACAAAAAAAAAACAAAACAAAAATTCATTTGGAATCACAAGCCTAAAGAAATAGCTTTCGAGATGTTATTTATATTTTATGTCATTTTATACATTTAAAAAGTGTAAAGATATTTTTTTTCCTTAGCCATTTATACAAATAAATTTTATAGTTTACAGTTACCGACTTACCGTTTACAGCTTATACGTTTACATTTTAGAGCTTCCAAATAGGGAAATGATTCATACACAACAATTCATGTTTTATAGAGTTGTACAATATAATACTATAATGCACAAGTTATTGTGTATTGATACCAGGTTTATTAAAAATAATAATAATATTACCACTAATGAAAGTAACATCGCCCACAAATCGCACACAAGATAGCAACACTTTAGTTAACGTACACTAATAGTGCATCAATACGACCTATGGACGATGCAAGATTACTCTTTGACCTAGATAAATGAAATTTAGAATCTTGGAAAGCTTTTTGCTTTTTCCAAATCTAGATACAACAATTGATATATCAAAATGGGTTTTCACTTTTCAGCACCTTAAAGGTAACTACTTTATTGCAGACTAAAAAACTAATCTTTATCGAGTGGATTCCCTCGAAACACCTCTATCCAAGAAAGTGAGAAACCACCGCATTTTCAAACTAAGTTAGGTATTTATTTCAAAACATCTTAATGAGTCTTAACTAAAAACTTCTCTTTATCCTCTTATTATTGAAGTGTATTTAATATAGAGTTAATCACTAATACGACAAAAAAAATAAAGTAAGGATATAATATCAAATGTGTAGTTTTCAAGCTGTAATGTTCTATTACAGAAACATATTTTGTTCCAGAAAAATACTTTCACGGGGTCGGAAAATTGTTAATTTAGTAGTCCTGGGATCATACTTCGCCAATTTTTAACTTTTTGTTAACGGAATTTTCTTAATTTTTAGAGAAATAATTTTTAAATATTCACGATATTGCCTGTCATTGTTATTTCTTTCTGATCAAAACATATTAGGCTTAGCAAAATTGATTTAGATGTTCGGCTGCCATGGGGTTTAATGTTCGACCTTTTTATGAAACTATCTTTATTCCAAATTTCGCAATATGTGGAAAATTTGGTCTTTAAAAGGAGTTGTTTTGATTGAAAATATGATTAATAGTACTGATTAAGTCTAAAATTCTTTTTTGTTGAGCTGAGAAGAAACATTTGAGAATAAATGAAGAGAAAAACAAAATTGATTTACTTTTGTTTTAAACTTCAGATTATGGGCTAATACCCTTATGTTTTTATTTGGAGTAGATAAACCATAATACTAGTTGTTGATTTCAAAGATTTGGATTTTGATTAGTTGTCGAATTTATCATGTTTGTATGATAAAATATCCGTTTGTGTTAAAAGTTTTTATCTTTTTTACTTATTTCCGAGTTTCATAGTTTAGATAACCAATCTGACTGTATATGTTTGAATTATAATTGTTTTATGACTATTAGACTCTTATGACTAGTGATAGACCAAATTATATTATTAGGTTAATAAAGTAATTAACTTTAATATGTACGAACTATATTTGATGACCATTCTGTGTAGTTAATTAACTGATTCTTATAACCATTAAGACTAATTGTGTTTTTCGCAAATGGCATCATTTTCAAAGAAAAAAAATTAATTTGGCAATATTTGATGCTAGAAAAAGCAATTTCACAAAATAGGCAGCCATTTTGTTATAAATAATGAAAATATGGTGATTTGTGATATGAGTTCCATTTTTGACAAACTCTTTAAAATATATTAGTAATAATCAGATAGTATAACGTATAATGATAACTTCAAATGAGATTCAATCTTAAGATATGTTAGTTTGCCTAAGTAAGCTGTTTCTGCTACTTTAACTAAAATTAGATATTGTTGTTATAATTGCACATGCCTAAAAACTAAAAAGAACATCTATAAATAAACCTTTTCACAATACTTCCATAAAGATAGCGCACCGCTTATTTCTTAGCTATTAAGTAGTTCAATAGAATCCATTTGTAATCCACTTCAAAGCATGCAGAAAACTTTATAGCAAAAGTAATGGAAACACAAATACATTGTCACTTTTTTTTTGTGTGTATGCTTCTACAACATTATCTTTTAATCTAGATCATATAACCTAATTAACCGTTCTTTATACAAAAACTCCAAAATATATCTGGATTTTTCTTATCTCCTCTATGTTTTTCCCTTTCAAATAACTTGCGCCAACTAATTAAGTAGAACCATAATGGAAATAAGCATATACATATGCAAGAAAACCATGATTTTTTTTTCAGCTTTTTACAAAATAGTGATTACATGTACTTCACACAGAAAGTAATTAGAAAAAGCGAATAAGCAAACTTAAATTATTCATCAACTTTTTATTCTATCTTACACCTGAGAAAAGGCAACCAGGCCAAGACAAAACTAGTAAGCTGTTGATGACTACTCACATATCTTTGAGATTTTTCTCACGCACTTTTCTGATGAAATCCCATGCTTTCATATCAACACTTTCAGTTTCATCATCTTTAATCATGTTCACAGAAGACCTCTTTGTGTCATGATCAGGGTGTATCAAATAGGAGACAGGTTTTGAGCTGTTGATTGGCTGTTGTAATCTAAGGTTTCTAGTGTATCGATGCAAAGATGGAGCAGGTGGTGGTGGTGGTGGTGGTGGTGGTGGTGGTGCACCTATTCTAAGGCTGGTCTTGGCTATAGAAAAGTAGGATACTTTCACTATGTTTGTCATCAGTTTCATGGACTTCTCACAAATGGATTTGTTGCTTCTACTTTTGTTGTTCATGGGAAGTCTTGATAACTTAAAGAACTAATTAAAAGATCTATGAGGTGAAAAGATAGATATGTATATATGTGTCTGTTTCATGGAGGTTGTATCAATATATATATCCTGTACCATGCTAGTCGAATCTTCTTTATAAAAGCTATATATAAATGCTAAACGATAAGAAGAATTTTGTAGTTTGTAGGTCGGTTTGAAATTTTGTAAGTGTGCTTGTTCTACACTGAAATGTTTCTCCTGATACCCGACAAAAAAACTATTCCAAACGTAATTAAGTAGGAAGTTGAAGTCATTGATGATTCTTATGATTTGTAATTGTCATGGAGTATTGAGTTTATTAATTAAAGGTAAGATTGAATAGATTCTTATGGTAACGTAGCTAACTATATTGTTTAGAAAGTCTTGAGTCTGATTCGTAAGGTATATTATAAAGGTATGTAGGAGGGTGGATAGATATTCTTGCTTTTATGCTTTCAGATTGTGAGCCAATCGCTCTGATGCCTTTCATTCCTTTTATCCTTTAGTGAATTTGGATTAGGGTTTTAACAGATGTAAATCACAAAATGAAAATTTTGGGGGAAATAATATCTAATAAAGTTTGTGATCAAGGAGTATTGATGTTCACATAGATCAATCAATAGGTCAATTTTGTATAAAAGGCAAACCAGCCATAGCTAGTGTCGATATTAACGCAAAAAAAACATATCATTTCGAGATCTCGAAATCGTATTTGTTGGATTCATATCGATGAAAAGAGTGAATAACGATTATAGATGTAATCCAGACTTAATTCACATGTAGACAAATCGACTACAATAAATAATCGATAACTTCAAGATCGAAGTATACTTCCATTCGTGTATTGTTGGGGTTGGTTGCTTCTAACGATTTTGAGTTAGAACAACTTGATGTCACT